ACTAATTAAGACTGGTCAACTTGCAGCTGCTTCTATACAGCGTTGTAGGGGACTGCGAGTCTTAAGGCTGAATTGTAATTAGGCCAGCCCCGTTATTGTCAGTTTTTCATCAGAAGTGCTTCCGTTCTGCTGGGAAATCTCTCCAAATGTAAATGAAAATATAAATTGACCCGAAAGAACAGCAGGTCAGACAAGGGGGGATGTTGTCATCGGTGTACATGTTGTCGAGATTGAATCGATCGGTTAAAGCACTTGGTGAGGACCTAAAGAGTCTGTTGCATTTCTCCCTTAATTCCACATCTTGCCTGTGAGTTGCGTGTGGAGGCAGGATGTGGTAGCCATCATGCCATGGAGTCATTTTTGACATTTGTAGGTCAACGGAAGCACTTGATTTCTAATTTGGAACATATCTCTCAAAGCTCATAGACTTCTCGCCGTATGTCTGTGCTGAAACTAATGATGATGGACAATCTAATATTGTAAATAACCTTTTCATCCTTTTTTAAACATGTTTGTACAGTAAACGCATTTAATATCCCCAGAATTGACAAAATCCACTTCTGCAACTGTACTTTGCACATTCTAACAATACTCTCAATATTTTGTGAAACATTGATCCAAATAGAGTTCATATAATTCGTCCAACTCAGCTGAAGTTGGTTGATACATCTGAGTTTGAGTGCCGGCTAGTTGATTTTCACTCAATATTTACTCACACATTTGCTGAGCTAAAGTGCTCTTTACCCAGCATTTTTGATAACTATTACCAGAAAACCAACTACATATTCTTCATTTCCCGAGCAGATTTTTTTTGCTTTTCCTTTCTTGCGTTGGGAAAGCTAACCAAAAATCGGCACAGCGACAATTCAATATGACAGGCTTGGAAACATGTCCATAAAACATACCTTGAGACGTATTATAGCAGTACATAGTTTCACTTGCTGATAATGAAATGTAGACGAAACACCACCTAATGTTGTCCATGGTGGATGAACCAATTATTTGATAAAATGCCTCAGGGCACAGAAAGAGGAAAACGTGAGTTTTGTTTGACAAAATCCTTATCGTGTGATGTTTGTAAACACCCCATGCTGTGGTTGTTTGTTTGATTGGTTTGATTTGGAAGCTCTTATTGGTTTTTGTGCGAATTAATGTAAGGCGTTGATGTTGTTGACGTCTGCGAGTGACCGCTTGGGAGTAAGCCAGTGTCTCCTTATCGAATTGATCAACGCCTACACAAAATGTTTCGTGATTAGCACCAGCGAGATAGTACGTGGCACCCTGTGAACAGCGAATGGCAGATAATCACATTATTGATCAGTGCTGGATTTCCTTTGGGAAATTTTGAAGTGCAGTCACCATCGAAACAAAGGAACGAAGCCAACTTTTTTTAATTGGCAGTCGGAATGTTTGCAGCATAGACGAGCAGTCGTGCACTTTCACTATTGTTGTCCAGGCATGGCGGCAGTATAAGTTCAAGGCAAATTTTTTCGGTAAGTTTCGAAGGGTTTGGTTATCTTTTTAGAGAGGGTCCCTGTCTATCTTGTGGCGCATTTGGTGCACTCATCAGTGTCATCCTCGTCTTGCAGATAATCGCTGTCATGTCTTTTGTTGGAGATCTACATTGACTCATTGATGGTACGAAGTTGACGAGTCACTGCAGGACTGCACTGTCATTTGTTGTTGCGTTGTGGAGGGTTTTTAGTGCTGGAGTTTTCATCTGTTCCTTCCGGGGCTTTAAACGTAAGGTTTACCAGTCGACAACACCATGAAAGTGTTTGTAAATAAAGGCATGGATGTGGAATGTAGGGGCGCTTTCTGCCTCTTGGAAACAAAACGAGGAAGTAAAGAAAAATAACGGGGAAGAAAGAGGAACAAGGGTCGCCAAATCACCAATGTACCTTGGAACTGACCCCTCCAAATATTGATGGATTGTTTGTTTGTCGTTGAGGGAGTGCTTTTTCCCTCTTGGAATTAAGGGGATTTGTTCCTTTTCATTCATTGTATGTTTAATTGACAAAATACAACAGGTGCAACTCACAGAGGGGCCATTATTTCCATGTTTACCATTAACACATGCACGGCCAGCGCCTGCCCACATTTGAGCGTATATCAATAAACAACTTGGATAATTTTTCATAGATTTGAACATTCTTTGAATAAGAAAGAGGAGACAACTAAATAAAATAAAACTTGAAATACATTTTTTTTCACGAATATTATTCCTGACAAACTAAAATCGGAATAATTCATGCACCACGCGTGCAGCGGTTGAATAGAATTTGTCGACCGTCTCCCACAATGCAATGCGACAAATGACCCTTCAGTAGCAACCTCCTAATGGCGCACTGTATTTTGAATCATTTTCCCATGTTGAAAGGTAGGCCTATAGACGGCAACTTGGTAGAATATTAAACTCTTGATAAAAAAGGCATAAAATCGCATTTAGGATAGTAATGACTTCTTGACTGTTTGACACAAGTCATGGTTTATAAGCTGCATCGATTTTCATATCAGGCAACGAGGCACGCAGCTTTATAGAGAAAAGACAGACTATGACATTCATCCGCACATAGACCTATGAACACGATAGGCGGGCTTAACGTTCGTCAGATATGTTATTTTCCATCAGATTTACTACGACGGAAAAGGCTAGAGAAGAGAATATTTAGTAGAAATGACAGGTGCAGCCATTAAAATGTCATAAGAGAGCAAGAGAGAGAAAATCAAGTGGATTTACATTGGGTAAGTCCACGGCGCCTTGAAATGGACTCTGCTGTGTCACGCAACACGATTATTAGGGCCTGTTTGTTTCGCACAGATCCGGTTCGCGATCAGTGACCCGTCGTTGGTTCACTACCATCAGAATGGTTAGAATGAACCAGTGAAAATGTTGTTTGACTGCAAGACCTTCCTTTTCAATTAATCCGTGTCAAAAATGTGACCGGTTGCTATTTTAACCAAATGAGGTCACAATTGAACAATTTGAGCGACTTTCGGGTGTAGTGTACATTGGTAGTGTAGTGTACAAAATGGTTTGGTGTTCTCTTTTCTGAATTTTTGCCTAAATCGGGACAGGCCTATGTCTTGAAGATCAGAAATTTTTTATCACAATGGAGATTACAGTAGGCTGACGTATAAGCATACTATGCAGGGTTTTACTCAATCTGAGACCAAGTTGCAAGAAATAGTAAAATACTGAAGATTTTTTCTCTTGAGTGAAATATACTTGCCTCGATTAGGGTATACCGAAGTCCAAACATGCGCACTTATGATTAGCAGGGACGACTGAAACACAGAAGGAGAAACCAAGAACAGGACAGCCCTTCCTCGAAAGAGTAATGAGGAAAATACAACGCCAGGCTGGCGTTGCGCCGCGGTGGCGCGGTACGGCTGAAGGAAATAACAGACAGCACTTGTCTTCCGTTCAATTATATTCGTATTGCAGTCATGACGCCGTGCTGGTTGAACGAGTCGGCTCAATCAATGTTGAGTGGAAACCTTCCCCAAACATCTTATTGGTGAGTTAATTTAGAAGACACTGCCAATATCAAGCAGTCGGGAACCCAGGTTCGAATTTCACCTAGTCTGGAAGGGATTTCTCCGTGGACATTAAAGTTTCCCCTGCCAGATTAAACGAAAAGGTCTTTATCTTAGGTTTCGTGAGAATTGAGAGCCACCACTACACTTGAAAAGCAGCGGTGTTATTTTAACACCCTTTGAATCCATATTTTCCACCCCTCTCTTGTATTAGCAGTAAAGATTCCAAGGCCGTTAAGTTGTTGACACCAAGTTTTAACACTGTAGATTTGTTTGTTTGTTTGTTTGTTTGTTGGGGTGTTGGGGGTGTTTGCTGGGTTGTTTGTTTGTTTGTTTGTCTGTTTGTTTATTTTTTGCAGTTTATAGCACTGTCCAGGAATCTTTACACTTAGCTTAAGTGGATTAAAATATTTAAAAAACTTAATATTATTCAACAGATCTTTAATTTTGATATTCTTTTGGTAGGTGGCCGTGAAGTTAAGTTAAAAAGATACTCTTAAGAACGGTATTCCTGGCACCTGTATGAACGGTGTCCAAATTTCTTTGCTACTGCGAGAAATAATGCATGCGATTGCGGGAGAAGTTGCGGGTGGCGGAGTCTGGAATTACGAACAGATTCATGAGTTATTTCAGGCAGTAGCCGAGAACAAACCGGGTGCGGCTAATCAGTAGAGAAAAGAACCCGCATATATTCTTGGCCCGATGCAGATTACGTGGCAAAGCCATTGTGGGTCTTTTAGAGTTCTTTGTGGTTGCTTTTAAAGTATGAATGAATTTTTAAATTGCCCAGCAGTGTCATAATATTAGAATATAAATCATTGTAAAATCATTAAAACAGTGGAGGGGAATTTGCTCGAATGTGTACAGGCGATATTCTGGCCTGCGGTAGGGAAAACTTCTGGGTACATGTAATTGGCAATGATTTGTAATTCGACTGAACTGTTTTGCTGGATAACAACTGTTTTCACAAACATAAACACTACCAATGTTGTTTCTTAAATACTTTCTTAATTGTATGAGATAATCTTATCACATTATATTATGAACTCCACTTTGGGTATTATTACCTATTATTATCTTCGTGTATATTTCTTTTTTACAAAAGTTTAAAACCACGCCGTGAATTCGGCAGAAACGAGTTTGGCATGCACAAGGGTGCAAGGTTTCGCCCAGCTCAACCCAGGGTATCCGTCAATCGAATTTATGAATAGCTCATCCGGGGGAAACAAACAGAATGTCCAAAGGTGGTACTTAACACAAGAATTTTGAAAAAAATAAAATCTTTGCGGCCAAAGCAAACCCAGGTCAAGAACCAGAAAAACACACTGGCCAGGTTGAAATAGCAGCAAACTTTAATTCTGTTCCCTAAGCTGTGTGAAATTCATTCCATCGGTAAGGATGCTTGCCTTACTTCGTCGATCAAAAAGTACCTAGAGTGGTTTCTGTTGTTTTCATTGCAGTTTCGTTTTCCCGTCTGATGTCTGCATTTGATAAGAAATCGAGATTTACTGTCGAGATGAATGCATGCACAGTGGACCATAAATCCTGAGAGAGAGGAAATATGCTATTTTTCCTGGAATACTGAGGAAATGAAATAAACACATTTCTAAGTGCTGCCGTTCTTCCTGCCGACGATTTTCCCAGTTTATGCTTCCCGGAAGTCTTATGCGAGCTACGTGTACGTGTGACCGAATTTGCGAACACGACAATAGCGTGCGTGAGTTTAACAGAGCGAGGGAATCTCCTGCACGCGTGCGCCGAGGCGCACGCCGTTCGTATCGCGTGACAAGTGTCAATGTAGCGGCATTTACTGCGGGGTCAACCGATACCTCCTTGTCGCCGGTGAACCGTGAGAAATCATCGCCTCAGCAGTATGGTCTGTAAGGCCTGAAATCAGATTTCGATTGTAACTTGAGGAACCCTACTGCAGAACGAACATCTTTCTGTGAGGATTGTTTTCACGAGCGATTTTTTTGGGAGCGGGGGAGCTAATGGGCAGTATGGGATTATTCGTATTACTGATACAGGCAATGGTGTGTTTTAATTTTGTGGGGTCCAATGACCACGAGGACATAGTCCTCGGACTTATGTTGCCCTTCAGTGGGCAGTGGCCGGTCGGCAGGTATATTGCCGGGGCCATGACCGTGGCCGTGGATGACGTGAACAGCAACGAAAACCTCCTGAAGGGACGCAACGTGACCTTCATCTGGAACGACACCACATGCGCGGGCAAGAACGGGCTGTACCAGGCGGTCAACATGTGGCTGTATGTCCACCGCCTGCACGCCTTCATAGGTGGCGGCTGCGACGTGGTCTGCGAGCCGGTGGGCCTGCTGGCCTCGGCCTGGAATCTGCCCATGGTGTCCTGGGGCTGCTCCAGCCTGGTGCTGTCCAACAAGGATGACTACAACACCTTCGTGCGGACGGTGGGGCCCTACACCAAAATGGCGCGCATGTTCACGAAGATCATGCGCTCCTTCAGCTGGACGCGCACCGTCATCTTGACGTCCAGCGAGAACGTGTGGCAGACGACGTCCTACGCTGTCAAGCTGGACCTGGAGAGCGAAGGCATCCTCGTCAGCGATTTCTTCACCTTCAACCCGGGCCACGAGAACATTACCGGGAGAGAAAAGATGCAGCATAGGGATGTCATCGTGGACGCCAAAGAATCAGCACGAAGTAAGTGCGACTTTGCATTCCTTTTATTGGAGGGGTCATGAGATTTTCAATTCGTCTCCTCTTCCTTTTGTTCCAACTTGTTATGTTAGTTTGCTATGTTAGTTTGTTTCTTGATGTCTATGCTTTCTCGTTACTGGACAGTTTTTCTGTTGTTTGCATACGGGGGCGACGTCCGCGACCTGATGCTCAACTCCCTAGACCTTGGCCTGATAAACGGTGAGTTTGCCTTCGTCTGCGTGGACTTGATCGAGGACGCCCACTACGGCCGCAACACCTGGATGGGCGATGACGGCCGGGACGAGGACGCGGCCAAGGCCTTCAACGGTCTCCTAAACATCCACATCAAAACACCAGAGGAGGACTCGTACGAAGCTTTCAAGGCGGAGGCGCGACATTGGGTGGCCGAGGAGCCCTTCAACAGACCCATGGGACAAGATGAAGAGGTTTGTGTCTTCCTTCGTGTCCACAGCCATCCCAGGGTGCTTGGATAGAATGATTACTTCCGGGTCGAATTTGAACAATAACTCAGGTACCCATTTTCACATGCGTGTAACACGTGGCACTGGATGTACGCTGTCCATAAACACGTCAAACTTTAGTGGACTGTGTGTCTGTATGCGTTGATGTTCATTGGTATAATCCCATTACATAACGTATACAGAAAGACACCTTGAAGGTAGCATTCAACACGTATTGCATTGATTATCGATAGATCTGATTTTACTTCCACTGGAATATTGGTGTGAAAGGCATTTGCCTTTGAGGCGGTGAGGACGCGTGTTTGTTTGTTTGTTTTTTTATTACTCAACTCTTCCCATATACTTTCCTGCATGGGAAAAATCGTTTCATCGCCAGTCTTAATGCGCCTTTCCATATGCGCATCAAGACTTGCACCAAGCGTTGCATATCCGTCAGAATCGCTCCCGGGGCGATTTTGATTGCCGAACTCAACGGACATATGTTACGTTAATGAAGTCGAGTTTTGTGTCCATGAAAATGAAACGCATGAACGATTCGTGTATGCATAAAGGTACGTTATGGAAAGGCTCCTTTAGGAAGAGACCGGTCTCCACGCGCCTCGTTGAAGCTTGCCCGGTTGAAATTTTGGACGTAATGAGTATATAGCCTTTATTCAAGTCGGGTTCGCACAACGCGTTGTGCAAAACAAAAGAAAACAAAAGACGGTTGGGACTGTCTTTTCTTTCAGAACTCTTGGTGGCTGCGCACCTTAATGTTCATCGTCCATCGCAAGGACAATGACCTTCGATTGGAGGGGAGGCAAGATTAGGATACACCCGTTGGTTGACCAACCATCGGCGATACTCTTTTTTCCAAACTATTTTTTCAACTATGTAAAATTACTTCATCCGCGTATCAGATGTTGTTCTTACAGGGGTGCTGTCCATACACAGGTGGATGTCCACGCAGGTCCATTATATGACGCAGTATGGCTGTACGCAAGCGCTCTTCACGATGTGCTGGAAGAAGGCGGAAATGAATATGACGGATTGGCCGTCGCCAGGAAAATGAGGAACAGAAAATTCAGAGGTGAAGACTCTTAAACAAAACATGACAAGTAATTACAACAGCATATTTGTAGTCGTCAACCCATACTTTACTCAGAAATGTGTCCAGCACACAGGTGAAGCCGAGGGTTCGGTAAGGAAGCCAATGGCAAGATTAGAATTTTCGTGCATTTCGACATCTAGATGTACTGATACACTTCTTACTTTTGTGTGTAGAATATTGCATCAAAATTAATCAGATGTTGTACTTAAATGAAATCTTAAGGTGCTTAACTTCCCAAGCTGTGAAAATAAAGAAATTTTCCTCTCAGTGGGCAGCTTTAGCGCCACTTAGAAAGAATGAGATGTGCAGTTTAGTCAAGGGTGCTAGACAACTAATTTCACCTACTCATCATAATGCATCATCTGCTAAGGTATAGTCTTCCTCAAGCCACAAAAGTTATTGATCTCTATCGTCCTCGAAAGACGGTGATCAAAAGTGATCCTAGACTATTAAGTCTGTTGATCACGCGTCGTTAGCACCATAATGCATCTGTCAGGTCTAACGGCGTCGTTTATGAAGAACGCCAAAACTCCCTATGATGATAGCATCTAGAGGCTGTCATCAGCCAATCACACAAGATGTTTATTGTATTTCTGGAATATCTTGCGTTACTACTATGCAGGATGGTACCACCGCAAGCTACTTCAAATTGCTTCATATTACTGCCAAGCATGCTGTGTTGTCGTTCTGAGAACAATCTTTTCAGACGGATCAGAGTAACGCTGACCTTTAAGCCGCCCCTGAAAACCTTCTCAATGTGTCCTGCTTTCTTGTTCAGATTTTTTAACTACCATTTTGTGCTATATAAATAGGTGTTGACGGCAACGTTACCATCGACCAGAACGGCGACCGGAATCCAGACTACGCCCTGCAGGACCTCCACAATGGGAAGTTCGAGGACTTCGCGTACTACGACCACGAGACCATGCATCTGGTGTTCCGGGACGACTTCACACCCACCTGGCCGGGCGGTGGGACCAAACCACCAAGTGGGGAACCTGAGTGCGGCTGGGATAACGAATACTGTCAGACGAATACAGGTACTGATCTATAACTCTACCCTCTGATTGCCCACTTCGCTCCCGTTTGCCTCTCTCTAAATGCCCACGAGAACACTGACGTACATCATGGGTACTGGCATGATCTTGGGTGTGACCGCACGCAATGGCCTTACACCAGTTCCAGGGGAAATAGAATTACTTTTCAGTCATTTCACGAAAAGGAAACTGGGGATAAACAACAGCCTGACATTGGCTGAGGCAAGATTAACTTCTCTTTCGTATAAAAATGGTGTCAGAATAGAGGAGCTTAAAATAGGAACATTTTAACAGCAAACTTTATCTAGAAAAATTGTATTGCAGCCGTAACTTCACTCAGAAATTATATCATAAAAATGTGTTGTAATATGAAAGATGATATGAAATATGAAAGGCTAATGGCCATGAACATTCCACGGAAATATCGTAGTGTACCATTTTTGGCCAGTGGATTTACCTTTTAATTCTGGTCCTTTCAATCCCAGTGTCATGCCAACATGGAACAGCGGAATAAATAAGGCAAACGTTGAAAGTTATTATCTGTCCCCAAGATAGACTCGATAACATTCAAAATGTCTATTATTTTAACCCACCTTTGGCTATATTCTGCGCTATTTCGTTAACGAAACACCCTTAAACTTGATCCAATCGCTGATCAGCACACACACAATTGTAAACTAACATTTCCAAAACAGTCTGAAGATGTCTTAGCTACGGTACTGGATTATCTGGAAAATAACACCAGCCAGTATAAATGTAAACATTCCACAACTTTCACTTCCGGTTACTAAAGGTTTAATTCCTTTAAAAATGTGCACTTCGTTCGGATCACTGTGAGGTATATTAAAATTCACAGCGGGAAAGAGGAATTAACGAACATTAAATTACTAACACCATGCAGCCTGCCTTTAGATTAGGAAGGCACAATTATCAAAATTTATTCTACCGAAGTTTTATCATATTTTGTTTAACAGTATTGTGATGTTTTTAACGGTGAAAGAGAAACCTAGAAGGTTTGATTCAATTACATTATTTCAGTATATGAAATGTGCAAAGTGGATCTGGGGCACTCTTTAACACAGCTCACATGAGCGACACCATTTTTTTTTTTTTTTTGATACTCCAGTGGCTATCATTGCGGGAGTGTCGTGTAGCGTGTTCGTACTGATCGTAATTGCTGCTTGCGTCACGGGCTATTTCTATCGGTGAGTTACTACCCTTTTCCATCTTGAAAGATTTCCTCTTGCCAAGAAATTACTGAAGCGGAAAATACTTTAATTTGGTCTCCTAGAAATGTCACTTCGATCATCTTAAGCACAAAGAAAGAAAACGTGTTAGCTGATTGTCGAAACAATATAATTCAATTCGGTATTTGGCCTGATTCTGGAGCTTGCAATTGAAAATGTGATAATTTGGGAGGACGTCTGAATTGGGTGGATCTGATCTCGAACCTTGCGCAGTGAATCAGGCGATGCGGTGAATGAAAATGCTGGTGACAATCTGGTTCAAGCTCAGGGTTGCTGGTGTTTACTGCCAAGAAAATTTTATCGCGTTTATCCTATCAGAAAGCTGCTGTCACATAATTTGAAAGCCAAATTGCTGTATCAACAAATCTGCTTTCTTATTAGTATGTGTTGCAGTATCCTGGTGTTATTTCGTTTGGGTCACATTTTGGTATATAACGGGCCTGGCTACATGCCAACAATTGCCTTTATACCTGCGCACGAATGCATGTCTTAGTGCATGAAGATTCATTTTTAAGAGAAACAGAGAGCACGGCTCATCAACGAGACAATGGGAAGAAGGGAGGTATCCCGAAACAGTTCATTTTGTTGAAGGTTACAGATCATTTCAGAAGTTTAGGCACGGTAATGCAATAGCCTTGGTGGTAGTCAGAGAAACCCAGTACGAATTTAACTCGTCCAAATAACCTTCCCCTCTCCAAACTTCAGGCGCTTGAAGATGGAGGCGGAACTGCAGTCAATCAGCCTGTGGCGAGTGAATTTCGACGAGGTGGTGTTCGACACCAGGAAGACGCTGTCGTACCACTCTGGAGGAAGTGTGCAAGTAATGACGGGTTTTTTCAAGATGTATTTTTGAGTTGGGGAGATGTTAATTATATATAACGGTTTTGCCCGTACCCAACGTATGTTAATAAGCACTGTATGCTCAGTGCTGTCCGAGAGCTTNGAAGTGGATCTGGGACACTCTTTTACACAGCTCACATGAGCGACGCCATTTTTTTTTTTTTTTGATACTCCAGTGGCTATCATTGCGGGAGTGTCGTGTAGCGTGTTCGTACTGATCGTAATTGCTGCTTGCGTCACGGGCTATTTCTATCGGTGAGTTACTACCCTTTTCCATCTTGAAAGATTTCCTCTTGCCAAGAAATTACTGAAGCGGAAAATACTTTAATTTGGTCTCCTAGAAATGTCACTTCAATCATCTTAAGCACAAAGAAAGAAAACGTGTTAGCTGATTGTCGAAACAATATAATTCTATTCGGTATTTGGCCTGATTCTCGAGCTTGCAATTGAAAATGTGATATTTTGGGAGGACGTCTGAATTAGGTGGATCTGATCTCGAACCTTGCGCAGTGAATCAGGCGATGCGGTGAATGAAAATGCTGGTGACAATCTGGTACAAGCTCAGGGTTGCTGGTGTTTACTGCCAAGAAAATTTTATCGCGTTTATCCTATCAGAAAGCTGCTGTCACATAATTTGAAAGCCACATTGCTGTATCAACAAATCTGCTTTCTTATTAGTATGTGTTGCAGTATCCTGGTGTTATTTGGTTTGGGTCACATTTTGGTTTATAACGGGCCTGGCTACATGCCAACAATTGCCTTTATACCTGCGCACGAATGCATGTCTTAGTGCATGAAGATTCATTTTTAAGAGAAACAGAGAGCACGGCTCATCAACGAGACAATGGGAAGAAGGGAGGTATCCCGAAACAGTTCATTTTGTTGAAGGTTACAGATCATTTCAGAAGTTTAGGTACGGTAATGCAATAGCCTTGGTGGTAGTCAGAGAAACCCGGTACGAATTTAACTCGTCCAAATAACCTTCCCCTCTCCAAACTTCAGGCGCTTGAAGATGGAGGCGGAACTGCAGTCAATCAGCCTGTGGCGAGTGAATTTCGACGAGGTGGTGTTCGACACCAGGAAGACGCTGTCTTACCACTCTGGAGGAAGTGTGCAAGTAATGACGGGTTTGGATGACTGACGATGGCATTGAGCTTTATAAAAAGCGGCATTTTTTTTCAGCCAATCAATTCTTTTAAAGATGCCTCATTATCAAAGCCTCCATTGAAGCTTATATTTGCCACCCCCTCTTGTTTCCGTCTTACAAGGGGTGAAAAATTCAAGGGGAAGCTTTGTGAGTTAGCGATAGAAGTAATTTTGTTCAAAGAGCCCCCAAACTGAGGATTTAGGACAGCAAGTGTTCGACTGGTGTGAAAAACACTTAATAACCACTTTCGAGATATCATCACTCACAAGCGGCCTCATAAGTTACCTTGTTTTCTTGAGGAGGCATGCCTTGCGTTTTTCCTGTTTCCCGTCAAATGGTAATATTGAAAGTGAAAAAAAAACCTCAGAAATTCGCAGCATGATAAGCGTTTGATACCCTGCTCCAGTTATCTTATACAAATGCTCGACCAGCCGTTGACTTTACTTTCAAATTTTCTTTCACAATTGAAACTTTTCGCGAAAACTCTTGAGTGAACGTCTTTACCGTTTTTGTGCCACAGTCACATTCAAATGGACCGCTGTCTTTGGGCAGCAATCCAGTCCTGACAGGGGGACGTAACACGTCGTCATCGAACCGCACAGATATACAGAAATTCTGCGATTATGGTGTGTACAAGGTAGGGTGTTCATTCCAACACAGCACTGTGAAAGGCAATAATACGCCTTACTGCTGCTGAGTGTGTTTTTGATAAATAGGCCTATAGTGTTCATTAGACCTATTTTTCCTTGAGTCTAATTTTACCTTAACGTGATTTATTCTACAGTTTGATTGTTTTTTGGATGATTGATTCAAGTTCTCGTCATTTTTAAGGGCTATGTTGTTGCAATCAAGAATGTTCGGAAAAAGAGCGTAGCCTTGAGTAGAGAGCAGCTAATCGAAATCTCAATGGTAAGTGCAACATAACTCGCGCTATCACTAGTCTGATTTAATCGTATTCACTGTAAAAAAAAAATACCGATACATGAATATTAAAATTGAACATATTTTATAGCCCAATGATAATTAAGTCCCAGCTTGTTCTCTGAGCGACAAGGGGGAGGGAGGGGCGAATTCCTAGTTACGGGAAATGTAAGAGCTATGGATTTGCTGAAGTTGCATCCGTTCCATGCTCGCACGAATTTGCCACGAATGGGTGTCCTGCCCTCAAACTCGTGCTGTTCGCCTGCGCGTGCATTCCAACTGAACACAAACCACTCTCAGTATGTTAACACGTGTGCCTTCGTAAGGCAGCGACGGAGGACGCATTCCATTGGTCTCACATAGGAAAGCGCACATGTCTAGGAGCGACGTCGTTATGTTTTAGCTTTATTTTCTTTGCAGCTTTGTATTCGCATCGGGGATTAACTGGTGTGGCATAAAATGTGAACTCCGCCAAAAATCGCTCACGGTTACCTTGATGCGCATGACTTCGTTTTTGCTCAAAGAACAATGAAAACAAACAAGTGTAAGTGGGACGTGGGAGTCATTCCAGGGAAGTCCAGGTTTCATACGACACCATGCTGTATGTTGATATTCGCTTTCTTATCCAGGTGAGGAATTTTAAACACGAGAACATCAATACATTCATTGGTGCTTGTATTGATCATCCCAATGTCTGCATCTTAATGGAATACAGTAACAAGGGAAGCTTGCAGGTAAGTACATGGCCTGTCTGCTGCAATACCGTCCTGAAATTTGTGTTTCGGTGAACAGGTTTATTTCAGGTATACACCGTGAAGTCACGCAATAGCGCGTTAAATTCCTTTTCGACCTATGGGGTAATCCGCTCCTAGTGGAACCAAAGAGGTGGCGTGTTTTTAGGTACTCACCACATATAGGCTCGCCTTAAGAGCTAGGTCTGGGTCTTCGCTCCATTGAAAATGCGTGGAGACGTGTAGTCAATAGACCCAGCCGTAGCTCTGGAAGCCCGTTTTGGACACGGCCTAATTTATTGCTGCATGTATGGTCTTTGCGCACACACACAGAACGCGAGCAAGAACCCGCTCGAAACCATCTGTCTTTCTGTCGCCGATTGAGGGTGCACTTCAGCTCGGGGCGGCGTCTTGCTTTAGTGTACGCGCGCCTGGAGTTAAAAAGCGGTACTGTCAGTAATGGCGTCAGTGACGGGATCTGGCATTGGTTGCGCATGGCAATATATATTGCTCTCATTGGAGTGCAGTAGTACAGGGAAACGTCAAAATAGTCAGCAAATGCTGAATACCCTAATGGGCTTAATACGTTTGTACTACGCATGCGTAGCATACGCATTTCCGTCTTTCACAGTAACGACAGTGAACGATGACAGGCTGTGGTATCTGTGTGGCAAGCAGTCATTCTGTTGTATGTCTTGTTGTGACTTAGTTTGGTACTGACGCATTTTTTGCTGTGTTGAGGTTAAGTCGCTTTTCAATTTAGCAAGAAGATATCTGTACCTTCTGAAATTTTGGGTCGTGTCTTTTGATAATTCATAATTTGTGTCCGTGTTTTGATTCGCTCCACTTTTACGCTTTGGACAATTGGATCAGTCAAAAATTATTATTGCAGGATGTGTTGGAAAATGACGATGTGAAATTGGATGACAACTTCAAACTCTCCTTTGCTATGGATATCTG